TTCCCTCTCGTGCTTTCTATCTCTCATTCTCTCTCTCTCTCAAATAAATAAATAAAATCTTTAAAAAAAATAAAATCGTGGCTTCTTGAAAAGGTACAAATTTATTATATATATATAATCTGATCCTCATATTGTCATATATATATATATATTTCTACTTTTTTTCTTGGCCCTCAATACCCACCTTTCTTCTTACACTGACTAAACTGGTGATAATGATTTTATGTCAGTGAGGATCGGTGAGTGTACTGTTTGGTATGCTTTCTGACCATTCTTTTATTCAAGGAGCTCAGGAGGGAAAAAAAAGTCACAAATAAGTCCACAATTTCCTAGTGGTTACAGGCATACCTTGGAGGTATTGCAGGTTTGGTTCCAGACCAGTGCAGTAAAGAGAATATCACAACAAAGTGAGTCAAATCAATCTGTTGGTTTCCCAGTGCATTTAAAAGTTATGCTTACACTACACTGTAGGCTGTTAAGTATGTGATAGTGCTATGTCTAAAAAAAAGTGTACATATCAAAGCAATTAAAATAGTACCATCAAAGCTGACTGGTCACAGATCAGCATAACAAGTATAATAATTATGAAAAAGTTTGAAATATTGCAAGAATTACTAAAATGTGACATAGAGACATGAAGTGACCAAATGCTGTTGGAAAAGTGGCACTGATGCAGGGTTGCCACAACCCTTCAATTTGTAAAAAACATACTGTTTGTGAAGAACAATAAAGTGAAGTGCAATAAAATGAGGTATGCCTGTATATTTTGCAGTTCTCCATGATTTAGTAGTTTTCTAAAGATTTTATTTGGGGCGCCTGGGTGGCTCAGTCTGGTGGGTGTCTGCCTTCGGCTCAGGTCATGGTCCCGGGGTCCTGGGATCGAGCCCTGCATTGGGCTCCCTGCTCAGCGGGGAGCCTGCTTCTCCCTCTGCCTCTGCCGCTCCCCCTGCTTGTGCTCTTTCTCTGTCAAATAAATAAATAAGTAAATAATTTTAAAAAATCTTAAAAAAAGATGTTATTTATTTTATTTTAGAGAGAGAGGGAGAGAGTAGTGGGAGGGACAGAGTGAGACTCCAGGCTGAGCGCAGAGCCTGGTGCGGGGCTTGATCTCACCACCCTGAGATCATGACCTGAGCCAAAACCAAGAGTCAGAACGCTTAACTGACTGAGGCACCCAGGCGCCCCTATGATTTAGTTGTAATTAGAGTTTGTACCAAATTTATGGTGTATAACAATTGTTTGACAGAAAAATCAACTATTTTTTCATTAAAGTGCATGTTTATCTAACTTTATTTTGTTTTGGTCAGTTAGTTATTGAAGGACCAAGGATTGCTATAGTTCATTTCCTATAACTGGAATATGTATTTTATAAATCCTATATAAATGCATGTAAATGCTAGAAAAAACATGAACTTAGCACACTATATGAAATTGTATAGATTTATTTTTTAGTCTTCAATTTCCACAGCTTATCGAATTTATTTTCCCTTTATCCATATAGCATGTTCACCTATACATGTGAATCACGGTGTGTGTGGTAATTAGGATCAACTTTTTTTAAGTGCTTAATTTGTTTTTGCATTAATTCATTCTTGCACTTTTTGAGCATTAACTAAAATTAAATTGCTTTTCTTTGCTTATCCTTGATTTACATCTTTGCTTCATTTTTGTGGCTTAAACTTTTCTGACAGTTAGGATGGTATAAAAAATCAGAATGAGACTTGGATATCAGTGTTGGTCTCTGCACTAAGCAGTCTGATCTACTACTGCCTACAAGAAGTGAGGTGATGATCTGGGTCATATCGCCATCATAAGGGGACTCCTACTGACTGTGGTACTGCCCCACCTGATGAATAATTGGAGTTACCCTTTTTTGTTTATGTAAGTAAATCCTAGTGATTGGCACAAGAGTATTCTTTTCTGCACGAAGGAGACAACAGTTGTTTCAAGTTTTTAGGAAGCAGAGGCTTGATCCCTTCTCTGAGCTGTTTGTTGTGGCATTAAATGGAAACTAATCGTTCTTTAAAGCTTCTGAGTGCATGAACTGCTTTTCTTAGTTCTTGAACTCATTGCCATAATCCAGTTCCAATTTTTCTTTGTTTCTTGGAGTGACCTCTTTATTTTTGTTTCAGTTCGTGATAAGTTGCGGGAGATAGTAGGAGTATCCACAAACTGGAGGTAGGCATGCTTTGTGGTCATTCCTTCTTTTATCCCTATAGGCTAGGCTGTATGTAGGTGCAGCTGATGGTCTCATTGTAGGGACGGAGGGGGCCCTGTGTTCGGAAATGGGTTGAGAGGTGTTTTTTTTACTTGGGGGAGAAGACCAACATTCTACCATACTCATCATTGGATGCATTGTTGTCATAAAATAATGTGATTTACACGTACTCTACATTTTTCAAAGTGCATTCAGGTATATTACCTCACTGATTCTCAACAAAACTTGTGACATGCTTATGGTGTATGTTCCTATCTTTTTTACCGATGATGAAACTGAAACTCAGAGAGATTGAATGATTAAGTATCAGGGTTTGGGACTTAAACCCAAGTTTCTCGGTTTTTCTATTTCATGCAACCTGACTCCTTTATTGCTTCTTGTCAGTTCACAGTTAACCTGGTCTCTCAGTATTTACCTGCTGTGAAATAGGATAATATCCTTCTTGGTGTACCGAATTTTGAGGCTAAAATGAGATAAAAAGAAAAAGCAGTCAGTAGTCATGAAGTAATCTATTCTTGGTGTAGAAATTATCTAATGACTTCTTTTTAACTGTTTATATGAAAATTTTCAATTTACTGAAAAGTAGAAAAAATGAATACCTGTGTCCCAACCATCTTGATTGGATACTTATGTTTCTCCAGATTTGCCAACATGCATATATTGGCTGAACTATTTCTAAGTAAATTACAGGTATCATGATATCATGACACTTCAGCATATATCTCCAATAAATAAATATATTCTCTTGTGTAACAAAATCAGCAATTGTGTGTCTCTAACAAACAAGATATTCTCTTACACAATGAAACTGACACTAATTCCCTAATATTATATTACTTATCTATTCAGAATTTCTCACCCGTTCCCCAAATGTCTTTTACAGCTTTTAAAAGAATACCAAGATCCAATAAAGGATTGTATATTGCCTTTAGTGGTTATGACTCTTTGGTCTGCCTTTATCTAGAATAGTAGACAATTATCCTCCCTCCTTTTTTCTTTTTTTCTATGAGCTTGACTTTAAAGAGGCCAAGCCATTTGTCATGTAGAATGTTCCATATTTAGGATTGACCTGGTGCCATTTAACTTTTTCCTCTACCCCCTCTATTTTTGGTAAGCTAAACCTTTCTGGCAATAATACTTCGTAAGTGAAGCTTAGAAAGACGTCTGAATTGATGATATTGTCAACATTGTAGTTTCCTCTCCCTTTTCTCTTCTGTCCCACTTTAATCGTCTCTTCTTTGCCTTCCCTTCCCATCTCCTTTTCACGTTCTCCTCCTCTTTACCTTTTGCTCTGCCTTCCATACTTTTTTGGATATACTCCGTTTTCCTTCCTCTGTCTCTCTTTCCTGAAATTGAAGGCAGAGAGAGAGAGAGAGAGAGAGAGAGAGAGCTGGGGCACAGAGAATGCGAGAATTGTCAAGGTGAGAAATGGGAAGATGGAGTTCAGTGGCCACTTTGTTCCTTAGTCCACATGTATATTTGTGTCCATCGCTGCATTTTTAATTGGATGTCAAATATTCTGTGTTTTGAATACACTTTTTGATGAGGTGAATATACGGTTTGTTTGGGTATATCTGTGTCACTTACAAGTTTGTTTTTTTTTTTTTATCTACAAGCCCAAGACATTTTAACAGAAACATTTTAATTCCACCAAGTGCCAGGTGGGGAGGGAGGGAAGGAAGAGAGAATAGAGGTAGGTCCAGACCTTCATTTTCCTCCTTTGATGGTGTCTGACCTGCCTGAATGTCACTGGCATGTGGAATAGCAACTGCCTCTGTGTTTCATGAAGCTTGCATCCTTTCTTCTCAGAGACCATGTGAAAGCAATGGAGGAAAGAAAATTACTTCAGAGTTTTTTGGCTGAGTCGCAGAAAGGACTGCCATCCAGGAGAATGAGAGACAGTTATATTGAGGTTCTCTTGCCTTTGGGTAGTCAGCCTGAATTACGAGAGAAATATTTGACTGTTCAAAACACCATAAGGTAACACAGCACTCTTTTTGTTTGCGTCATTTGTTTTTATTTTATTTCCTTTCATTATTGTGACTTTGAGATGTAATTCCCACATGATACCATTCAGTTAGGTAACGTGTGCAGTTCTGTGTTTTTTTGTATATTCATAGAGTCATGCGGCCGTCACCCCATTCAATTTTAGAACCTTTCATCTACCCAAACTGTGTTCTTCATTTTTAAGGGGTGATGATCATGGTTTTCATTTAATCACAGTTTTCTTTATTTCACAGATTTGGCAGGATTCTTGAGGACCTTGACAGCTTAGGAGGTACTGGTATCATTTTAGCATTTCTAAGTAGATAGTTACAGCTATACATTGAATCCGTTGGCTGGAGAGGGGCTTTTTTAATTCTTTAACTTGCGCAGCTAAGGATATTCTAAAAGAGGAATGAAAGAAGGGCCTCTTTTACCTCTGAATTGTCATAATTTTTTTCCCTGAAAATGCAGATTCCTGTTTAACAGTTGTAATCTCATTAATTCTTCTTTCTAATAACTTTTCAAAAAGTCTTGAATTTATGGAAAAGTTGCTAGTACAGTACAAAGAATTGTTCTTCTCTGAGTTGTGTAAGAGAATACCTTGCTGATGTGATGCACATCACCCCTGATGGTTTTCATTAGTATTTCCTACAAACAAGGACATTCTCCTCCATAGCCACAATACAGCCATCAAAATCTGGAAATTAACCCTGCTTACTTTAGACTCTTTAATCCTCGGACCCCATTCAACTTTCCCCAGTGGTCCTTTGTAGCAGAGCGGATCCAGTTCTGAATCAAATGTTGCATTTAGTTGTTGTGTGAGGAATAGCTCCTCAGTGTGTCTCTGACTTCCATGACCTTGATACTTTTGAAGGTTATAGGCCAGTTCTTTTGTCGAATTTCTCTCAATTTGGGTTTATTTGATGCTTCCCCAAGATTAGATTTGAGACATGCATCTTTGGCAGGAACATCACAGAAAGGATGATGTGTTCTTACTGCCTCTCATCAACTGGTGCATAATTCTCATTTGTCCCATTACTGGGATGTTAACTTTGATTCCTTGATGAAGGTGGTATCTGCCAGGCTTCTTCTCTGTAGAGTTACTCTTTCCCCCTTTGTAATGAATAAGTACCTTGTAGGCAGGTAAATTCAGACCTTATAAACAGTCCATTTCTTGTCAGACCTCCAATTTATTATTTTATTTATTAATTTTTAAAAAAATATTTGTTTATTTGACAGAGACATAGAGAGAGCACAGATTGGCAGGGTGGCATGCAGAGGGAGAGGGAGAAGCAGGCTCTCCGCGGAGCAGGGAGCCTGATGCAGGGCTTGATCCCAGGACCCTGGGATCCCGACCTGAACCTGAAGGCAGCTGCTTAACCGACTGAGCCACCCAGGCGCCCCTAATTTATTATTATTATTATTATTTTTTAAAAGATTTTATTTATTTGACAGAGAGAGACACAGCGAGAGAGGGAACACAAGCAGGGGAAGGGGAGAGGGAGAAGCAGGCTCCCCGCGGAGCAGGGAGCCCGACGCCGGGCTCGATCCCAGGACCCTGGGACCATGACCTGAGCCGAAGGCAGACGTTTAACGACTGAGCTACCCAGGCGCCTCCCTAATTTATTATTTTAAAATCAGTATGGACTCAAGGATTTCTATTTCATTGAATGGATTATAATGTCACTTTCATCTCTTGTGCTGCTCACTTTGTGCCAGGACTGTCCCAATCCCTTAAGACTCGTCTATTTTTTTTTGTTGTTGTTTGTTTGTTTTTTTATGTGTCCCTATCATTCTTTGAGCACTTCCTCACTTTCTGGCACAGGAAGACGTTCTAGGCTTATTTGTACTTTCCCTGGCTCAGTCTTAGAATCATCCAAATCTCCAAGGAGCTCTGGTTCTTTTTGATGGAGAATGGTCATTAGAAACCAAGATACCTGTGTTGAGAGTGGTCCCTGCTGATGGGGTGTCACTGCTCCCGTGCCCTTTCAGTGGACGAGGTGGGGCATCTATGCACATGCACATACATTTACTTCCATGTTTGTCTTTCTCTCTGTTTATCCATCTATGTTTATCCCTCTATGAAAATGATGGGTTCACGCTGACAGTTCCAAGTCTGGTTCAGCACCACAGGTTCATTCATTTCTTCCCTTTTCATGTTTGTAATTCCTTTTCCAGCTGGCTCCATTATCCTAAATCGATTTACTTATCAGTTTCCCTGGCATGAAGCTAATTTCATATCTCTGCCACCCCTGTCCCCTCATGGACCCCTCCTGGATGCTCCCCTCATCTCACTGGGATTCATACTAGGTTCCCTTTTGCAGGGTCACCGTCCTCATTGTGCTCAGCCTGCAACATGCTGGGCCATTGCTCTTGTTGCCTCCTCTCTTTATGTCCTCCTGACCCCATTTGGGCTCCAACATCCTACTCTGGGCTACCTTGCTTGCTCTTACTAATGACTTTTGGACTGAACTATTGGAAAGGGTTTAAAGAAAGGCTCTAATGACTTCTACAATATAGATATGAGTCCATTGTTAGGCTTAACACCAGCTGCTTGTTTCTTCAGATTAAATAAACTTGGTTAGGGGTGCCTGGGTGGCTCAGTCAGTTGAGCATCTGCCTTCGGCTCAGGTCATGATCCCAGAGTCCTGTGATTGAGCCCGCGTAGGGCTCCCTGCTCAGCGGGGAGCCTGCTTCTTCCTCTCCCTCTGCCCCCCCTCCCCCAGCTCATGCTCTCTCTCTCGCTTGTTCTCTCTCTCTCAAATAAATAAATAAATAAAATTTTTAAAAAATAAATAAACTTGGGTAAACATTCTCACTGACCTTTAAAAAAAAACAAAACCCACACACGCACTGTTGACTCTGGTTTACTTAGGTGTCCCTAAATGCACAAACTCGTCTGCCTCTACCCTGTTTTTTTCCTCATTGGCTCCTGTTAAATTCCTTTCACCTGTTCACTTGGATTCTGTTCTTTCCAGTTCTTCCAGCAACTTGCCTTATCACCTATGCTTTCTCTCTCATATCTCAAGCCTTTTTTCAACTTCACATTTCCTTTAACTTATAAACATGTTCAAGGCTCTTCCATCTTATAAGGAAAAGTAGGTAAAATCCCTTTCCCTTACAACACTGTTGAACTTGCTCCCTCACTTCAGAGCTAACTTTCTGGAAGGAGTTGGAAAAAGTAATTTGCTCTTATTTCCTCTCTAGACGTCCTGTTTCCTTCCCAGTCTCACGTGTTTTGACTTCTGCTCCTCTGTGCCACTGAAGTGCTCTTGCCAAGCTCTCCATTGGCCCCCTTGTTTCATGATCTAATGGGTGCTCTTCAAGGTTTACCTGACCCCTTTGTGGCTCCTAATATTGTCAAACTCATCCTTGGGCTTTGGGGACATTTCCTCCTGCCTCTCTGGCTGTTCCTTCCCAGTCTCCTTTGTGGGTTCCTCTTTCTCTGGTGATCTTTTGAATGCTAGTTATCCCTAGGGTTTTGTTTTCTGCCCTTTTTTGCTTATTTGTACACTTACTATAAGTAATCTCAATTACTCCCAATGCTTCACTTGTTCTCAGTATGCTTTTCTGAGTTCCAGACCAGTTTGTCCTGCTGGACATCTCCATTTGGATACGCCATAGGCTTCTCAAATTTAACATGTTGAAAATAGTCCATTCTGCTCTTCTCATATTCTCTTTTTCAGTGAATGGTGTACCATCTTCACCGCTTCACTGGGGTTATTACAATATTGTCAAGTGTACCTTCTTCTTAACTCTAGGATCTTTTCATTTCCATTGATACTGCCATAGGTCAGCCACATACAATTTATTTTATTTATTTTATGGGTACCACAGAGGCTTTTAAATGGACTTTCTTGCCTTCAGCCTCTCATTCCCCCAGGGTGTTATGGGGAAGGAGGAATAACTTAAGCGAAATAATTGCTTTATGATTAGGAAAGAGAGGGAAAATAGCCGGGTCCTTGTGATTTGTTTCTCTTTTCTGAAGATGTCTGATGCTGTCAGACTCATGTGCTGGGGTCTTTCTGTAATTGAGGCACTGCGTCTCTGTGCAGCGGTGACAGGCCACCTGGTGGGCTTGGGCTTTAGGCTTTGGTTTCTTCACCAAATCTAAAATTGAGTGGGCAGTCAGATTAGAGAATCCCCAAATCTCTTCAGTGTATGAAAAGTCTTTGGTCCTCAGATAAGACCGCTAGTGGGATATAGGGGGTTGGGTCTTCAGAACAAGATAATTTCAGGGAGTCAGTTGTAAATGATGAGAAATAATTTTGCCTTTCCTTTATTTGGTTCTCTTCTCTTACAGTTCTTATCTGCTACATGCACACCAGAATTCATGAAGCTAAGATGTCTCCTTTGTCAATAGTTACAGCCCTGGTGGACAAGATTGGTAAGCGATATTATTTTCTATATGTCATTAGAATTCTCAGTAATTATAAGAGATTATTGGAATTAGAGGAAATATTTTCCTTTTATGGGGGAATCTAGAATGCTGTATACCAAGGTACATATTTATTATAATAATCTTTGAGTGGAAGGGTTTTGCATGATTCCAGTTTTATTTTTTATATTCTTTGCATTGTCTGCAGTTTTCAAAAAGATAAACTTCTTTTCTATGTCTAAAAAGTTGTTTTTAGTTTTGAAGACTAAAAAAAAGAAAAGAGGAAATATGGTGGAATTTGCTAGAATTTCAAGTGAAATTTTGCAGTTGTAATACAGAAAATTTGGGGTATGGTGTGAACTCAGATTGATTTTTTGTTTTGCAGATATGCAGAAGATGAGCTTAAGCCCGGAACAAGACATTAAGTTCAGTGGCCATGTTAGCTGGGTTGGGAAGACATCCATGGAAGTGAAGATGCAAATGTTTCAGGTGTGTATTCATCTAAAGTTTGCCTGCTTGTTCCAATACAGCCAGCTAAGCCTAGTGGAAGAACGGCATATTTACCTATCTATCAATAGACAGGTATATAGCTCACCACTTCTAGAAAAAGAATTGAAAATTCATTTCATGGGGCGCGTGGGTGACTCAGTCATTAAGCGTCTGCCTTCAGCTCAGGTCATGGTCCCAGGGTCCTGGAATCGAGCCCTGCATCGGGCTCCCTGCTCCACAGGAGGCCTGCTTCTTCCTCTCCCACTCCCCCTGCTTGTGTTCCCTCTCTCATTGTGTCTCTCTCTGTCAAATAAATAAAATCTTTAAAAAAAAAGATCATTTCATGCAGATAGTGGGTTATTTTTTTTAGATTTATTTATTTATTTTTAGAGAGAGTGAGACAGAGAAAGCGAGTGGGGGGAGGGGCAGAGGGAGAGAGAGAATCTCAAGCAGACTCCCTGCTGAGCTGGGAGCCCAACCAGGGCTTCAGTCTCAGGACCCTGAGATCATGACCTGAGCCAAAATCAAGAGTCGGACACTCAGCTGACTGAGCCACCCAGGCACCCTGTAAACGGTAGGTTATTAACGTCTTCCTCCTGTATAAAGAGTGACATATTATTTGATATTTATGTTCTGTGTTTATTACTTTCAAATCGTATATAGCTACATATTGAGGTGCTTGTTTCTGGTTTTGCCCCAGAGAATTTCACAAGAGTCTGAGTTACATTAGGCATGAATGGTACTCGTCACTCTTAGTTTCCTGGGGTTGCTGTAACAAAGTACCACAAAGTAGGTGGCTTAAAACAAATTGTCTCACAGTTTGGCAGCTAGAAGTCCAAAATCAAGGCCTCAGCAGGACCATGACCCCTCTAAAATTTGTAGGGGGAGAATCCTTCCTCGCTTCTTCCTAGCTGCTGGTGGTTTGCTGGCAGTCCTTGGCATTCCTTGGCTTGCAGCTCTAACACTTCAATCTCTGCCTCCATTGCCACATGCTCTTTTCCTCTTGCGTCTCTGTGTCTCTTCTCTTCTTCTTCTTCTTTTTTTCTTTTATTGAGTAATCTCTATGCCCAGCATGGGACTCGAACTCATGACCCCGAGATCGAGAGTCACATGCTCTACTGACTGAACCAGCCAGGCTCCCCTCTTCTCTTCTTATAAGAACATCACTAATATCCAGTATGGCCTCATCCTATTTCCAAGTAGGGCTTCATATCTTTTTGCTGGACACTGTTCACTGTTCAACCCGTAACAGTCACTTAGACCAGTACAGCAGTTAGGAACAGCCTCTCTAATGAGCAGAACTCAGAGTAGGTATTATAAAGAAATCAAGAAATTTGACAGGAAAAGTTTCCTCAAAGAGGATAATAGCACAGAAATCAGATAATTCAGAGTACGAATGGTGAGCATAGCATAATGGATAAACTTGTTGAATCACTGTGTTGTACACCTGAAGCTAATGAAACACTGTGTGTCAACTTTACTCAAAAAATAAATAAATAATAAAAAAGGGAGAAAAAGAATGGCTTCACTTACGCCAGGGTATTCAGTAGGACCATTATTCAGAAACATTTTTTCTTTTCTGGAATGATGAAGCATTTCACCTTTTGGAAAAAGTCTGAAGCTTGCTCTGCAGTAATTAAAGTTTCTTGTCAGGACGGTTAGGTAGTTCTTTATTTGATGCTATATACAAGCAGTTGGATTCTTTAACTCCCATGTTGCTGTAACTGACAGTAACACCGTTTTTAGAACAAAACACACTAAGGTTGTAGGGGATGCTGCTGTGATTTGTGCACATTGTTTTTTTTTGTTTTTAAGATCTATTTTTTTGTTTTTGAGAGAGAGAGCGGGGTGGGGGCAGAGGGAGAGGGAGAGAGAATCTCGAGCAGATTCCACGCTGAGCACAGAGCCTGACACGGGGCTCGATCCCAGGACCCTGAGATCATGACCTGAGCTGAAACCAAGAGTTGGACACCTAACCTACTGAGCCTTCATGGTTGATTCCTACCCTGCTCTGATTCCTGCCATAGGACCTGCTTTCTGGGGAATCTTAGTAATTTGAATCTTGGCCAAATAGGTTGAAAAGAGATGCAGGAGTTATTTCAAGGAGAGAGTCAATGAAAATTAATGTCAGACAAGTACAAACTCCTGTTTTAAGTTTGTGTTTCTCATTGGCCATTTTGACTAATAATGCAAGACCTGAGTGATCCTTTCTATTCCAGAGAGGAAGGTTGGTGGTAGGTGTTTTGCGTTTGGTTTGGGTACCCGTAGGTTTAAATCCCAGCTCTGCTGCTTATTAGCCATGTGACTGTGGGTAAATTACTTACCTTCTCTGAGCTTCTGTTTTCTCAAGTGTAACATGGACGCAGAAATAGTACCATGTTATATTTGGTAAGGATGAGTGAAAAAACAACCCAACCGTTTTAATTACTTGGTACAATTGCCTGGCACACAATGACCACTAATCACATGTTGGCAATGTTAATTTATTATCATTACTATGGACGTGGTCCCAAATCTTTTCTGGGATTGATGTTTAGACCTATCTTTTGAGCGCCTGTTACATCTCTCCCCTTACATGTGCTCTTGCTACCTCAAATCCAGTGTGTTACAAACTGAGTACATTAGCTTCTTTTCCAATCCTGATCCTGCTCCATTTTCCCCTTTGCCTACACAGCCTTTTGCTAAGTCTTGCAAATTCATCACCCAGGACAACTCACTAGAGTTCTTTCTTGTCACACAAGAAGCAGTAAGGCCTTGAATGAAACACAGGGGCCTAGTTAGCGAGTCTGCCTGCCTCTAGTCTGTTGTCTCTCTGTTAACTGTACAGATTTTTTCCAGTTAGACATTCCAGAGCCGACCTTAAATCACATTGCTTTCCTTCTCAAAAACCTTCTGTGACCCTTCTCTGTGCATTAAAGCCTAAACTCTTTTAACTAGTTAGGATCCAGGGTGCTCCATAAACTAGCTCCTACCTACCTTTCCAACTGTATTCCCGCGAACTTATCATTTATATACCTTCCTAGAGCTTGCTGCTGGACATTTTGAACATTCCAGGAGTAGAGAGTTGTTCGTTTTTGCATGCTTGACACTATTAGGTGTTCATTATAATAAAGCATAATTTAAACAGTGAGTTGGATGAGTATCATTGCTTATGCTTTTTTCTTTGCCTGAAATGCTTATGCTCTGGCTCCACATATCCACATTCCACCTGTGCTTCCAGATCCGCTCATGCTCGGATGCTTCCCTCATCCTTCTAGCTCACAGCCCCTGTTCCTTCCCCATGACTCATTCCTCAGTACCCTTGCTCTGACCCTTTCTCCTGGCACCTGTGAATCTCTCCTCCACCAAGCTGCGTATGAACATATCTTTTTGTCTTCTACCAGGCTATACATGTCTTAACAACAGCATCTGGGTGTGAGTCGCTTAGCCCACTTCCGGACATCCATTCATTTATCATTCACTTAGCCATTGTTCCTTGAGTGCCTGTTCTATGCTAGGCATACAGCAGTGAGCTACATGAAGTTTCGTTCTCTTAGAGTTTACATTCTAGTAGTGCTCAATCATTTTCTGCCTTAATTCATCCATCAGCAATTGTCTGCTATCTGCCGGTCTTTGTGCTAAGTGCTAGGGATGCAAATGTGAGCAAAAACGGTCTTTGTCCTCAATAGGGAGTCAGTCACGTATATAAATGACTGTGATATACACACAGTCCCCAACTTAGGGTGGTTTGACTTCTGATTTTTCAGCTTTACGATGTGTGAGGGAGTGTTCAGTAGAAACTGTACCTTGAAGTTTGAATTTTGATCTCTTCCTGGGCGAGTGATACGCAGCACACCAGCGGCTGCAGCCCCGAGGCAGCCACATGATTGTGAGGGTAGCTGACTCATAGCTTGCAACCCGCCTGTCCCCATTCAGCCATTCTGAAAGAACTGTATTCAATAAATTACCTGAGGTACTCAATGCTTTGTTATAAAATAGGCTTTGTGTTGGATGGTTTTGCCCAACTGTAGGCTAATGTCAGTGTTCCTGAGCACGTGTACAGTAGGCTAGGCTAAGCTGTGATGTTCTCCAGGTTCCATGTATTAAACACATTCAACTTAATGATATTTTCAGTTTATGATGGGTGTGTTGGCATGTAATCTCATTGTAAGTCAAAGGAGGTCTGTAGTATTTAAGCATCGTGCAGCATTTCTCCACAGAGACACAATCGGCATTGCCTGTAGGAAGATTCTTAGTGATGCAGGACAGTCCCCTGCATTGTGAGGTGTCTAGGTTACCTCTGCCCCCCTAGCGACGTCCCTCAAGTCATGTGACAACCAAAACCTCTTCGACACATACCCAAATGCTCCCAATAGGGGTGCTATCCATCTCTGTTATATTGAGAGCCACTTTCTGGGGGAGGATTTCATTCCCATTCTCATGGCAAACCAAGGAGGGAATGATGGCCTCTGCCTGGGGAGGAGGGATGGGGCAGGGGTGGGGAGGAGTGTCCTGTGGAGGGCGGCTGTGAGGAAGGCATCAGGCACAGGCCCGGACAGGATGAGTGTACTTCCAGGACCTCCGAGTTGTCAGCTGTGGCTTGGGCGAAAGGTGCAGGTGTGAGGGGGGTGCTCGATGAACAACCGGAGAGGAATCTGGGCTGTGTTGTGGAAGGCTTTATATGTAGTGCCCGCAGGCTTGGAGCGGATGCGGGAGGAAGGTCGAGCAGGAGGGTGATAGGGGCCTGAACGGGTAGCAGGGAGGAGGACGAGGGATGAGGTCTGTGGACAAGTGAGCCTGGTGTGCCCCCAGCTGATGACGGGACTTCACAGTATAACTTCCCTGGAAGTACAGACTCCTAGAGGATAAGAAATCCCTTAAAACCTCAAAGCCTTGTGCAACTGTAAATATGTCACTCAACCCACAGGATTATCATGATCCTCGCCTCGGTGTTGGCACACGGAAAACACTAATGTCTGTGAGACCAGTGGTCCGTTCGGCTGGCTCTGTGTGCCGTCGTGAGGACCGGCGGGCGTGAAGAACACCGGGGTCCTGCGTGCTGCCGGACAGTTAAATGATGCTGATGCAGAGGGTCCCTCTGTGACCCTTGCCCTTGAATCTCAGTCATGTGCGGTTCCAAAGCCCATCGGTCGTGGCCACCCCAGCCCTTCTCACCTGGATGCTGTTTGAACTTTAGGAAGTCTGTCTCCTCTTCCACACCACAGGCTCCTTGGTCACGCTGCCGTTTCCCCAGAGCTTAGTTCTGCAGATGGTGGTTAATGAATGCACTTTTCTTTTCCTAATTGCAGCCTTTCTCAAAGCATGCATGCTAGCTGTTAGAATTGTAGTAGGTCTTCCCAGTAAATGCATTTCTTACATCTGTATTTTCTTTCCATTGTTCTTTAGTTACATGGCAATGAATTTTGTCCTGTTTTGGATGCAACATTTGTAATGGTGGCTCGTGATTCTGAAAATAAAGGGTAACTGCTCTTTTTTCGTAATTCTTTATTTTGAAAATTTCAAAGAGACCTAAAACTAGAGAGAAGACTATAAAGAATTTCCATATACCCATCAGACTTAGAATTTTTAACATTTTTTATTGCCATATTTGCTTCATCTGTTTTTTCATACTATATTATTTTCTTTGTTATATTTTAAAGCAAAACTAGAGAGAAGACTAAAGAATTTCCATATACCCATCAGACTTAGAATTTTTAACATTTTTTATTGCCATATTTGCTTCATCTGTTTCTTCATACTATATTATTTTCTTTGTTATATTTTAAAGCAAATCCCAGACATAATGACCTTTCATCTCTGAATACTTTTGTGTAGGCATCTCTTTAAAGATGCAGATATCTTCCTAAATAAATACATTACCGTTAGCGTGCCTAACAAAAATAAGAGTAAGTTCGTAATATATTCTCATGGTCAATTCATATTCAGTTTTCCCCAGATATCATTTTAATGATCTGTTCGAATCAGGATCCAAACAAAATTCACATACTACATTTGATTTTTATGTCCCTTAAGCCTGTTGTTTTATTAATAGCTTTACTGAGCTATAATTCACATACCATACAATTCACCTATTGAAAGTGTGCAATTCAATGACTTTTAGTGTATTCACAGAATTGTATGATCTCTTAAGGTTTTTTTTTTTTAAAGATTTTATTTATTTGAGGGAGAGAGAATGAGAGAGAGAGAGAGAGAGCACATGAAAGGGGGGAGGGTCAGAGGGAGAAGCAGACTCCCCGCCGAGCAGGGAGCCCTATGTGGGACTCGATCCCGGGACTCCAGGATCATGACCTGAGCCGAAGGCAGTCGCTTAACCAACTGAGCCACCCAGGTGCCCTCTTAAGGCTTTTTAATCCAAAATAGTTGTGTGTCCCTGCTGCCCCCTTAGTGTTTTATATCAATTTGTTGAAAGGCCAGATGGAGTCCTCCGTACGGTGTCCAACTTTCTGGATTTGTCTCATGGCTTCCTCATGGTATTTTTTTTACTTGTTTCTCTATCCCTAGTATTTTCTCTAAACTGAAGTTAGATCTAAAGCCTTGATTAGATTTAGGTTCAACTTACTTGATGAGAGCATCTTGTAGGTGATGAGATCTGTGTATCTCAAATTGTAATGTATCTCATGTTGTATCATATCAGGAGGTACGGATTGTCCCACTCATAGCGATGCCAAGATTGGTGCATGGCAGTTTAGTAGTGACTAAACTGGTCTTCTCATTATAGGGTTCACTTGGTCCTCGTATGATCAGCAATAATCTGCAGGCTCTAGTAGGGTACAGGGTGTACCCCGAGTATACTTTGTCACTCTGTGAATAGCTAGCTCCCTATCAGTCTTTCTCCAGTGCTTTGAACGCCATTGCTAATCATTGCTTTAATCATTAAGGGGTATAAACGATTCTTAAATCCTGTCCTTTTTTCTATATTTACTACCTGGAGTTCTGGAAAGAAGAGCTTTCCTTTATTAGCTAGGGCAATTTGGTTTGTAAAGGAAAGTGAGGATTAATGTTTCATTCTTGCCCTTTATTTACACATTTTCCTAATAATCAGTTGCTTGACTAGCTAGTGATGACATGGTTTGTCTACTTTTTGGCTTTTTTAAAAGTGTCATTGTGAATTCCTGGATTTTAATGGTATGTATTTCAGTAAATTGCAGCCCTTGTTCTTCCTGGTGCTCAAAGTGTACCATCTTTGGGCAGTGGGAGCCCCTTTAAGCTTGCTTCTGTGAAAAGCTCTTTTGATATTTCCCTGCTAGTCTTCCTGTTCTCTGGTACAGTGGGATATCTTGGGCTCATCTTATACATTTCCCTCCTCAGGCCTGGAATCAGCCATTTCTCCACAGAGCCTTGGGGTTCCCCTTAGTGAGCACTGGTGTTTAGAGACCAGAATCCGGGCACCAGAACTGTACGTTGTTACTCGTTTGTCACTGTCTCTAAGCCTTTTCAGTGGACAGAGCTAGGATGTCTGTTAAAAAGCAACAAACACACACCCAACCTCATGAGTTTATACCATCAATTCCAAGTCAGATTGAACTTTACAGATTTTGACTGCTTTGGCTTTCTCCTTTTTTCTCTTAAGTTGTGTTTTTGGTTCCTAACCAGCAGTCACGCCCGAGGCGTCGAAATGGAGAAATCTTGTCAAACTGTTGGGGTGGTGCTGGGTGGGAGGGAATGGAACAGGATTGATGTTCGTACAGGACAGTCTAGGGGCCTGTGGGGAGTCTAATTCGGATTAGAAACTTGAAGGAGGAGTCTGCAATGAGAAGTCTCTCCTGCTTCATGGGGAGCTGGTGCAGAAGAGCGAGTTAGGATCAAACCATCCTTTGGTGACTGATGTGAGCGTAGAATGCAGCCACCCACTCTTCACTCCTGCTGCCAGCCCGGCTGACCTGCTGCTGCTGGCTGGCCTGGGGCTCCTCGCCAGCCCTGGAAAGGGCAGTATTTAAAGGTTCTCTCACAGCTGATGCTTTTGAATTTTCCGAGCTGCCATTTCAGTATGTTTGTTTCTATCATTTCCGTTTTGAAAACTTTGCCATCTATGGAGAGGTAGAATAATGCAGCGAGCACTCATAAAGCCTTCACCTACATTCACCGATTACCATTTTGCCTCCAGCCTTATTCTCTGGCCCTCTCTCTGTAAGTACACACGTGGACGCTCTTTCCCTGAATCATTTGAAAGTAAGTTTTGAGACTACTTCACCCATAGACGGTTCGGCATGTACCTCCTGATAATAAGGTCATTCCACTACACAAACTCGATGCCTTTATTGTAGCCAAGAAATTTAAGTGATAGAGTGATACTATCTAATATACTATCCATATTCAAACTTTGCCACTTGTCCCTAGGATGTCTTTTATAGCCCTTTCCCCTGAGTCAGGATCTGATCAAGGATCACGTACTGCATGTAGTTAGCATGTGTTTTAAAAAGAGTCCCCCTGCCGTTTTCTGTCTTTTAAGATGTTGACATTTTTTGAAGAGTCCAGGCCAGGTGTCCTGTAGAATGTTCTATGGCCTATTTTTGACTGTTTCCTCGTTACCGTGATCAGGTGAAATTTTTTGGTGAAAGGCAGTATCCTTTTTATAAATGTGAACTTTCTAGTGTACAGACTGGTCCATAACTGGAAAGCTCCCCAGTTGTTCCAGGGTTATTATGGGAAGCAGTCAGGCAGCATTACCCAAGACCAGCAGCAAAGACTTCTTGAAACGAGTGGGTAATTGTTCACCTTCCATATTTACTGGGGAATGACACCTCTTAAGCTGTAATCTTTTCTTTTCTTCTCTTTAGGCCGGCGTTTGTAAATCCACTCATCCCTGAAAGCCCAGAGGAAGAAGAGCTCTTTAGACAAGGAGAATGTATATTAATTTGTTTATAATGTAAAGATACAGTTTAAAAAGCCCATTACCTGTACTGCAGAGGAGGTTGTGGAAGAGTATGGATGGACTCCTCATGCCAGTCACGTGTCTTACTCATGCCAAGAATTTATTGAAATTAAAAATACCTTATTTTTTTTCCACTGGAGTCCGTAGTTTGAACAGTTTTATCAATTAGAAAATATTCATTAAGTAAAATAATTTGCTTTCTCATTTTTAATAAAATGGGAAATGGATCAGTGAAATAACTGCTGGTCAGGGCTGTAGGTCAGGATGGTCTTTATGTGTGGTCTTTAAGTGCTCCCACACTGAGCCAGTATAATTTCCATCTGGAGGCAAAGAATCGCCAGTCACATTATGAAGCCTCAGCAGCCTTCTCTGGGATATATGTGGAATTTCCCGTGGGCTTTTCAAAATCTAGAAATGCTGCCTTTGTAGGGTCCAAGGCAGCCCAGGTCAGGAACCCTAGTGCTGTTCGGTGACCCCCACCCCCGCCACACACTAATTGTAGCTCCTTATTGTCCTGTGTTCCAGTGAACAAGGGGAGAAGGGTTGCCTTCAGTGCCAAGTCATTACTGAAAATGGCTCCCAGTGCTGAGGAAAGGAGTACTATCCATGAGATGTTTCTTCACACGCTGGATCCGAAGTAAGTTAGCACGGTGAGATTGCAGGTTGCAAAAGCATGTACACCTCGGCCCTCTCCACAGTTACGCCCGCTTAGCATACTGGCAGTTGTTTGCAAATATTTTACTTTTCGGCAGCAAAACCATGGCATTGACAAGGTTTACTCAATCTCCGTTTGTACAGGACTGTAAGTTTTCAAAGCCGAGTTTTGCCCCCCAATGCGGTGTGGATGGAGGATTCAAAACTGAAGAGCTTGGAAGTTTGCCACCCACAGGTATTGTCAGTTAGTGAAAAATCTTTTAAATAGGATAGCTCATATTCGTGGTTCTCACGTAAAATCGGACACACCGTGAAACTGACCTCCGTTCTGCAGCACTGTGAATTCCTTCCTTCTGGCTTTGAGGTTGTGTCTGTTAATCTTATTTTATGTCCAATAGGAGCGCAACATTTTCAATCGGATCTTTGGTGGTTTCCTGATGAGGAAAGCATATGAGCTTGGATGGGCTACTGCTTGTAACTTTGGGTGAGTTAGATTGAAGGTGGTTTTAACTTCTGAGAAGCAATGTGTACTACCCCATTGAATTAAAGCATTTTGGACCAGTCTGTGTGTGTTGGGGCATATGCTCTGCTATTAAATAAATATTACAGTGATACCAGCTGCCTTTGATGTTACTTTTCAAAGGCTGTTGCTCTGTTTTTGTCAGTACGTTAATGACCTGAGAAGAGGTGATGATAGACAGGAGGGAAAAGGTAGAGGGGTGATCTGGTCTCAGGGGTATCACTTACCATTTCTCACCGGTAGGGTTATTTCCCCCTTCCCTAGGTTTATTCTTTGATCATTTAAATTTTGCTTCAGCTGATTGTTAGGGGAGAAATAGAGATCATCTGCATTTTGTGCTTGACCCCAATTCTGCCTTATGTCTGTTAGTGGCTCCCGACCGTTTGTAGTAGCAGTGGATGATATCATGTTTCAGAAACCCGTAGATGTTGGATCCTTGCTGTTTCTTTCTTCGCAGGTAGGTGTGCGATGAGAGATGAAAGACAATTTTTTATCATTTGGGCCTAGAAGAGAAGTTTTTTTTGCTAAAGCCACTGTTTCTCTTAAGACTGCCTCCCCCCACTTGCCAGTGCCCTTGACTAACTAACTGTCATGTCTAAATCTCCTAGGTTTGCTTTACTCAGGACAATTACATTCAAGTCCGAGTACACAGTGAAGTGGCCTCTCTTGAGAGTAAAGAGCATATGACCACCAATGTCTTTCATTTCACGTTCATGTCGGAAAAAGAAGTGCCCTTGGTTTTCCCCAGAACGTACGGAGGTGAGCAGAAATGTCTGCTTGTACCTAATGAATGGAAGGACTTTCAAAGATATTTTTCTTCTTTTAAATTGTTGTAGGAAGTATACCGATGCCTGTTAGTGCAAGAGCATGTCCTTAGAAGATTGTGCTTTTGAGGGGCAGTAGCCCTGCAGGCCCGGATGCCTCCTGGCCTGCAGGTGCCTGTCACTGCACTGCCCGACCTGCCTGTTGTCGGAGGGGTTGGGGCCAACTGCAAGCAGCCACTGGTGGTCAGAGAGTGGCCCGGCCCGAGGAGAGGGGCGAGAGTCAAGGCCCACTCCCTCAGGAGCCTGGCGTGGCCGCGGCCCCAGCCCCACTGGGCATGCCCAGTGCGTTTTGCATGCTCGTTGCTGTCCTCGTGTTCCCAAGTAGTCTTGTGTCCGTATGATGATTTTGTAAGGCTCCGTGGGTTTCTTCACAGTTCTCTCTTCTGTGTTTCAGAGTCCATGTTGTATTTAGATGGGAAGCGGCATTTCAGTTCCATGAGCGTACCAGTGAACCTGAGAAGGGACTAGGAGCCCTAGGAAAAGCATGCTGTTGAAGAGCAACTCTCCACACTGACATAGAACCTGAGGGAGGCCTGCTCACGTGCCCTGGCTGTAGTGTTTATTCTTGTCCTCCAGAGAGAAGAATGTTTTCAGCCTTTAGGATGATCAGAAAAGCAGACTGAGAGGGTAGCTGGGTGGGGCAGAGGGAGGAGGAGTTATGAAACAATAAATACTCTCAAGACAATTTAAATTGTGACCCTACCGTGTTGCGTCCTGTGTGGTCGAGAAATGGGGGCGGAAGGCCTTGGGACGCACTTGGAAACAGTTCTTTTCCTACACTTCTCCCAAACTGTCCGGATGTGCACTTTCCTGCCAAGGTATTTGGAGGGCGCTCCTTAAACCTCACCTTGGCGGCAGTTCCCCTGTGCTAAGCCCATCAACCTGATGTGATTCCTCTGTGTTTTGCCTCCCTCTGCTTCCCAGCTTTTTTTTTTTTTAAAGATTTTATTTATTTATTTGACACACAGAGACAGAGAAAGAGCACAAACAGGGGGAGCAGCAGAGGGAGAAGCAGGCTCCCCGCTGAGCAAGGAGCCCGATGCGGGGCTCGATCCCAGGACCCCGGGATCATGACCTGAGCCGAAGGCAGCCACTTAACGACTGAGCCACCCAGGTGCTCCTGCTTCCCAGCTTTTGTTGTTAGCAGAGGGGAGATGAAAAGTCAGGGTAAAGGGATCCAACAAAAGGTAAGGCATTTGGAAAGATTTGTGGGAAGCTTTAGATCTAAAGCCATACTAAGAGGAGGTGTTCAGAGATGATCCAGATGAGGACACACAGGAACCAAGTGTTCATTCTTTTGTTCGCCGGACAACTCTTCAGCACACTCGGCTAGGGGCTCGCCAGGATATATCTGATCCAAAAACAGGAACAGTAATCATAACAGCTGCGGATGCTTACTGAACACAGTCCTAAGCTCTTGACATGTACACTAGAGGTAGGTTCCGAAACCCCCTCAGGTTAGTCCACTCAGGAAACGGAAGCACAGAGAAGTTAAGTAACTTGCTCATGGTCCCACAGCTGGTGAGTGGTGGTGCTAGCACTCAGAGCCAGGCGGTGGGCACTCTTACCAGAACACTGTACTGCTTCCTGGGAATCTAGCAAGGGAGGCTGTGTCCAGTATCACAGGGTCACCTAGGAACCCAAAGGGAGGTATTCCCATGAGTCTTGCCAAGACAGTGTCTTCCTTGATGGGATGGGAGGTTGGTTGAGTCCGCAAGAGACAAAACCCAGGCTGTACAGAAGAAGAGTCATCCCAGAGCAGGTGCTCCTGGGAAGGAAGCGATCCTTAGTCTTGGTTCTAGATCAGCGATCACAAACTTGGTTCTGCCACAGAATTAGCTGGAGAGCTTTCTTTGAAGAAACAAATTTCATATTGGGGTGCCTGGGTGGCTCAATCGGTTGAACATCTCAGCTCTTCATTTCAGCTCAGGTCGTGATCTCAGGGTTGTGAGATCGAGCCCCGTGTCAGGCTCTGTGCTCAGCGGGGAGTCTGCTTGAGATTCTGTCTCTCCCTCTGGCTCGGCCCCTGCTCGCACTCTCTCTCTCAAATAAATAAATAAATCTTTAAAAAATGTTCACATTATTATAATATTTCCTGGAGTCACGGTGAATATGAGCAGGCACTTCTGGCGTAGTCAGGGGAACAGACCCAGGTCCCCAGGAGGCGTGCTGTTGACTCTTGGAGAACAGTCCGTGCTGCACTGCTGTAGCTTGCTCGCTCTACCTTTTGTTTCCCTGCACTGCCTGTGCTACCGTCCTGAGCTGCTCTGTCTGGGCTCTTCGGTACAGCATTTTGCATATTCACCTGTGACTCGGTGACCCTGGGAGTTGTGCGAATGTGGTAAATGCAGGGCAGTTAAGAGACTACTGTATGCTCTTGTATAGATTATACATTTGAGCAATTATTGCTCTATTCACTGAAGGTCTTTCTAGAACTTTTCTTGCTATTCTAAGCAGTGTTACACTAAATATCCGAAATAGCTGAAATACATAACCTTGAAATGCCTTCCTTAGGAAAACTGTAGAGAAGTGATGTCTGGTTCCAAATAGTATGCACATGTTGAAGGCTTTGAATATCCATTTCACATAACCTTCCAGAACAGTTGGACACCTTCATTTACTCATAAATTTTCCTAAAATTTGCCAAATTTTATCCTTTTTAAACATCTTTGCCATTTTGATAGGTGAAAAATGACATTTGTTAATGGCCTTTCTTTGAATTCTGCTGAGATTGAACTTTAAAAAATTGCTTATTATCTTTTTAAATTACTAGTTCAAGTAATTTTATATATCAGAATCTTAATTCAAAATCTGTTACCTGCCAATATGGATTTTCATATGATAAGAACAATTCTCAGAGCTAGAATAAACAATTCTAAAATTTGTGTGGAACCAGAAAAGACCCCAAATAGCCAAAGCAATCTTGAAAAAGAAAAGCAAAGCTGGAGGCATCACAATTCCAGACTTCAAGCTCTATTACAAAGCTGTCATCATCAAGACAGTATGGTACTGGCACAAAAACAGACACATAGATCAGTGGAGCAGAATAGAGAGCCCAGAAATGAACCCACAACTCTGTGGCCAATTAATCTTTGACAAAGAGAGAAGGATATCCAGTGGAAAGAAGTCTCTTCAACAAATGGTGTTGGGAAAACCGGACAGCTACATGCAGAAGAATGAAACTGGACCACTTTTTTACACCCTACAGAAAACCTCAAAATGGATGAAAGACCTAAGTGTGAGTGAGACAGGAATCCATCAAAATCCTAGAAGAGAACACAGGCAGCAACCTCTTTGACCCTCGGCTATAACAACTTCTTACTAAACATGTCTCCTGAGGCAAGGGAAACAAAAGCAAAAAGTATTGGGACTTCAAGATAAAAAGCTGCACAGCGAAGGAAACAACGAAACTAAAGGGCAGCCTACAGAAAGGGAGAAGATATTTGCAAATGACATATCTGGTAAAGGGTTAGTATCCAAAATATATGAAGAACTTATACAACTCAACCCCCCAAAAGCAAATAATCCAGTTAAAAAAATGGGTGGAAAACACGAGCAGACATTTTTCCAAAGAAGACATCCAGATGGCCAATAGGCACATGAAAATAAAAAGAGATTTTCATTTTTAATACAGGACTTTAAGAAGATAAGATGAAGCAAACTACAAAGGCCATACAGGAGGCTCTAGATATTTAGTGTTTTGTCCCTCCTTAAAGACTAGTGAGTTTTGGGCGCCTGGGTGGCTCAGTTGGTTGAGTGACTGCCTTCGGCTCAGGTCATGATCCTGGAGTCCTGCATTGGCTTCCCTGCTCAGCAGGGAGTCTGCTTCTTCCTCTGACCCTCCCCCCTCTCATGCTCTGTCTCTCTCGCTCTCATTCTCTCTCTCTCAAATAAATAAATAAAATCTTAAAAAAAATAGCGAGTTTTTAAGTAGACCCAGCATTGTTATGTGTTTAGCATGGAATTTCCTAGTATGGGCTGGACATAGTTTTGTACTGAATTGTCCATGCTGAGATACCCCAAATTTACTTGTTTATTACCACGTTCTTTGTTTTTGCTTAGGTATTTCTTCAGTGGGCAATCTCTGAGGATGGTGCCTTTAACACTGGTTTTTTGGAAGAGTTCATGCTAGTATGCTTTGCACTGTGTTGTGTGTACCCATGTGATGCTGTGGATCCACTTCTTGTGGAATCTGAACACTCCGCATGTTCCCTTCGCTCCCTGTGTTCTCTGTGATATGATCTGCTTTCTCTCATCTCTTTGAATAGGGCCAGGAGCTTGACTGTTGAAGAACTGAAGTCTTCCCCACACTGTCACCCCAGAGAGTTCAACATTTTATTTTTCTTTTTGTAAGTTTGTGCAGAGAAAGACCTTTTATCTTTCTAAAGGCATGTTTTTTGTTTTGTTTTTTTTTTTTGAGAGAGAGAGAGCATGCACAAGAGCGCGGGCGGAGCGGGGGAGGCAGAGGGAGAGAGAGAGACTCTTAAGCTGGGCGTGGAGCCCAATGCAGGGCTTGATCCCATGATCCTGAGATCATGACCTGAGCTAAAATCAAGAGTTGGATGCTTAATGGACTGAGCCACCCAGGTGCCCCCTAAAGGCATATTTGATTCCATGGGATGGTGGGCCCACCTGGGAGGTTCTTTTCCACGTGGTGCTGGCTGTGATCACTTAGGCAGCTGTGTGCAGCTGGGAGCATGTCTGGGACTGGAACATCTTGCACCTCAGCTGGGGTGGCTGGAATTGCTGGGGGCTGACCAGGCCTGTAATAGGCAGGTTGGATTTTTTAAATGGTGGCTTGAGGGCTCCAAGAGCAGCCAGCCAGATTTTCAGATCCTAACTATGCCATCTTCCTGCCTCTCAAAGCCATTTCCATGGAGGGAATGATCAGTGGTGTCATGGGAGTTGACAAAGATGAGCACTGGGTAAAGGCCAACAGTGGGGTGACTGAGAGGTCACTGGTAAGAAAAGTTTCAAAATGTGAGCTGGGTGGGAAAGGGCTGAGTCATTCCAAGTGTTCTCCCTTTCCTGAGTGAATTCCTTGGATGCTAGTGCTAATGAGATACTCTTATTTTTTTAAAGATTTTATTTATTTATTTGAGAGATAGAGCAGAAGTAGGGAGAGCAGCAGAGAGAGAAGGAGAAGCAGACTCCGCGGAGCAAGGTGCTCGATGTGGGGCTCGATCTTGGGACCCTGAGATCATGGCCTGAGCCGAAGGCAGCCGCTTAACCGACTGAGCCACCCAGGAGCCCAATGAGATACTCTTTTAAAAACATTTAAAAACATTTTATCAACAAGTCCCATTGGGAAACACTACATCAGATACCCCTCCTCTGGTAGTTTTTAATGCATATTAGGTTACAAAAGACACTTTGAAAAGAACACCTGTTTAACTTTATTTAATCAGCTTTCATGAAACTCATTTGACCATGGACCTTTTTTCTTATTAAAACCTTTTAACAGGGGTGCCTGGGTGGCTCAGTCGGTTAAGCATCTGCTTTTGGCTCAGGTCATGATCCCAGGGCAGAGAGCCTGCTTCTCCCTCTGCCCCTCCCCCTGCTTGTGCTCACTCGCTCTCTCTCTCTCTGTCAAATAAATAAATAAAATCTTAAAAAATAGCTTTTAACAAATTGCACACACGAAGAATTTTTATAACTTACAAAGTTGGGGTCCTACTCTCTATTCTATTTTGTACT